TTCAATATATACAAATATGAATCTAATTCAACAACTAATAAGCATCTTAATCTCAATCTCAAAATCAATAATTTAAAATAAATAACTTTATGTATAGAAGTCAATAAAACTATTACTCAAGTTCAACACCCATATGAACTTAAAACTTCAATTTGAAACACCATAACTCAAAGTCCCTAAACTTTATATATATATATATATATAAATTTAATAAAAATAATACTTCAAGCATACATATCTCAATATCAATATCAATATCAAACATAATCCCAAAATCAATATTTACAAACAAATAACTTTGTATATAAAATTTTAGTAGAAATGTCACTCTAGTTCAACACCCATATACATCTTAACCTCAATCTTAATATCAATTTCAACCTCAACCTCAATCTCAAATGGAATAATCCACAATCTCGAACTTTATATATATAAATTAAATCAAAATAACACTTCAATTAGCATACATATTTCAAACTCAAATCAAAAATGAATAATTTGAAATAAATAACTTGATATATAGAAATTTAATATAAACATCGCTTTGATTCAATAGCCATGCACATCTCAACCTCAATCTCAAATGCAATAATCCGAAATTCCTAAACTTTATATATACAAATTTAATAAAAATAACATTTCAATTATCATACATATCTCAATCTCAAAGAAATTGAAAGAAATAACATATATATATGAAAAAACATGCACTTACCTGTGGTAGTGAGTATGATAATGCTGTAGAGGTTGGATTTAAATCTAAAATATGTAAAGAAAACAAAGGATAGGTTACTATAAATCCAAAAACCATTGCAAAAAAAAGAAATTTTCAGTTAAGTAACTGACCATCGAAGATGCGAGGAAGGGCGAGGTAGCACCAGTCTCCAGTTGGGGTGGTAAGGTAGAGGAGATGAAGGTTGGATTTTGAATCTACAAAAATAAAAAATGGGCTCCCATAGATCCAAATCCAAATTTAAAATATATAACTTTATATATAGAAAGTCAATATAAATATCATTCTAATTCAATAATTTAAAATAAATAACTTTATTTATAGAAATTAAATATACATAGCACTTTAGTACAATACCTATATGAAACTAAACCTCAATCTCAATTTTAATTTCAACCTCAATCTGAAACACAATACTTCAAAATCCACTACTACAATTTGTATCTATAGCTACGAATTAACTCTATAAAAAATGAAATGGTAGCTAATAGGCAACAATAGCTACAACAAATCTACTATGTAGCTACCTACAATTTGACCTTTGCTGTAGTCATGACAGGCTAGATTTATTATGGACTGCATAATCTCTCATTTCCTCGATTGGTAAGACTTAATTGTTCAGTTTTTGGAAATATATATATATTTTTTTTTGGATTAGTTCAATTTTAGGAAATAGATCTCTGGTTTTCAAATAGCAATTCATGGAAATATGTCATTCCTCCTTTTTGTTGAGCTCATAACAAAAACACAGTTTTCTCACATGCATCTTGTGTAATGAGATAGAGTACAGCTTGCAAAGCCATTTGAACTGTTCAGCTCCATAGTTTGGTACTGTGTAGGCCTTAAAAGTTGCTTTTAATGTGTCTGAGTTGGTGATAGGATAGGGACATGGTGGTGAGGTTAGGGGAATGCAACATAGGTAAGGTTTAAAACTATGGCAAATCATGCAAATTAACCCTCAAACTTGTCAAGTAGTGTTAAA